TATATATATATATATATATATATATATATATATATATATATATATCTTTGAAGACCTCAGTGGAAAAACCGGCGTTGTCACATTTAAAAAGTTTTCAGAAAGAATTTATTGATCATTAATAAAAGTAAAAAAATAAATATATCTATATATTTATAAATACATATGATATATTATGAGACCACAAGCATAAAAATAAAAACTTTATATATAATTATTCACTTATTTCTAATTATCATTTTTTACTCAAACGGCTTTCAAATTTAATTTTGTAAAAATTAATGTCAAAAGCGGACAAAAAATAGGAAGAAGAAAGATTTCTACCCAAGAATCATTGTAAAGAAAATCACGGAAAGAGTCCCAGTCAGCTTTAAGGTAGTTGTAAGATGTATTATTTAAAAAAAAAAAAAAAAAACATTTGCACCATGCACCATTGAATAAAAGTATGGCAAAAAGTTATGCTGGCGCAGTTTCTTCCGGAAATCCATCTGTGCAGAAGAAAAGTAACCTTGATATTTTTGATTCAAAGTCTATGTCCGATTCTTCTAATGTACTCGTGCGTCGATACGGCGATTTAAATTTTAGCATAAATGATTTTCTCTCTGCCTTAGCCAAGAAAAACTTACTCGGAATTGTATGGGGTGTCACGAGACACTACTCCAACAAACTGTTTGAGTTTGCAGTTGTAAATGATTCCTCAGTGGCTACGTTTCTTGATTCCGACATTGAAATCAAAGGCTGCGTTTTAACTTTTCAGCAAAAGTTTGTCCGTAAGGTGCATGTTTTAGTGCAAAATATACCAATCGGCACACTAAGGAATGGCTGTCAAAACGCTATTATTCTACTGGGAAAACACCTTGCTGCAGGAAGAGGTGAGTTTGATACTTTTTATCTTCAAAAGTGTAAAAGCCACGGCGAAGACATCTTTACTGGCAATGTCATTGTTATTATTAAAAATTGGAAAAATCCACATCAAAACCCCTTACCCCGATATGAAAACGTTGATGGTCTAACTCTTCGTTATAAACATAATGGCCAACCCGAACCAAACCCTCCAAAGCCAACAAACCCAACCGTTATGCCCTCACCCTCAAACTCAACACCACCAACTGTTCCGAAGATCATTGATGCAAATGTAGATATTGATGTTAACAGTGGCAGTGTTGACATCAATGTGGACAAAGTAGATATTTTTAAAGAAAGCCTTAATGAGGAAGAACCTTATCTCAACACACAAAAACTGAAAGCCACTCAGCCAACAAGAAAACGACAAGGGAAATCAGAGTGTGAAACCCCAAAAAAAGTAACCAACACCAGTGAATTAAAAGAAGCCATGCCCTTGGATGAAGTTTTTTTGTCGAATGAAAAAGATGAGGTGTGTTACGAAGATAAAACGGATGCATTAATTAATGACGAAGAATATGACAGCCAACATTGTGCGGATAAGAAATCGTAAGGATTTTTTTTCTCCTTATTTTTTCCGTTTCAATTCTATTTTTTTAGCTTTCTTCTTAAATCAGTTTTTATTTTTAAATTTTTTCGTTCTACAATTTTACTCTTTTTTCTCGAGTTTTTTCTGTTGCAATATTTTTTTCTCATTAACTGGCACGTTTTTGTATAATCGCTTAAGCTGTCGTAATTCGAATTGTGGTAGTTCGCGCTTTTGTGTAAAATATTATGGTTCAGTGCGTCCATCTGTTTGTATCACATCATTTCAAACGATAACTCGTGCAATAAGGTTAAGGTTTAAATGTTTGTACTTTTTATGTCAGGTTGTAAAATTATCATATTTATGTTTAAGTTACACGAGTTTTCAAATTAGGAAAACTGATTCTCTCCATCATGACTCTTAATGTTTTAACGTGCAACATAAACGGTCTAAACGACCAAACAAAACGCGACAATTTTTTTGGGTTTCTAAAAAAATCCTCTTTCGATCTCATCCTCGTACAGAAAACACACTCTGGACCTTCCACTGTTAAACAGTGGGAAGACGAATGGACTGGCGAGTCTATTTGGAACTCCGGTCCAAGTCATAACTGTTGCAGGGTGGCAATACTCTCTAAATCCAACATTTCCTTAAACGAACTAAAAAGAGATAATAACGGTAGAATATTAAATGTCATGATAAAAATAGACGAACACGAAATGCAGGTGATGAATATTTACGCTCCTAATGTGCCGAGAGAAAGGCGCCTTTTTTTTGGCGACCTTGATAATTTCTCGCAGGACACAGGACTTCCCGTCCTGTTGGCGGGAGATTTTAACATGGTCGAAAGCCTGCCTCTCAACACAGAAGGCACCAACAACGCTAAATATCACACCTACGGCGTGGGCGAACTCGGGGTATTCCAAGGTAAGTATAACCTAGTTGATGTTTTTCGTTTAAAATTCCCAAACAAAAGAGAATTCACATGGCGAAATCAGAAGGCAAAATGAAGACTCGATCGAATCTACTGCCCTGAAAAAATCGCCAAAAAAATAACATATACAAAAATTCTCACCAACCCCTTTTCCGAACACGAGTTCGTGACAACAACCGTCAATTTTAGTAAAACAAGGAGAGGACCAGGATACTGGAAATTAAATTGTTCCCTTTTGGAAATAGAGGTGCATAGGCAAAAAATTGAACTCTTAATTAAAGATTGGCAAGTTAAAAAACGGTCCTACAACTCACTTTTAAAATGGTGGGACGACTGTAAACTTTTTGTTAGGGTTGAATTACAACATATATCGATACAGGAAAGTGCGAAAAAAAAAACAAATCAAAAGGATTGAAAACGAAATCCTACGGGAGCGACAAAACGCTAACCCGAATTTAGATAGCATCAAAGAAAAACGCAATGCTCTTTTCTTGCTCCAGTTTCCAGGAGCGTTTATTCGCACGAAACAAAAACTAATTGAAGAAGGAGAAAAACCTTCAAAATTTTTGTATAGTTTGGAAAAAGTTCAACAGCGGAACAAGTCAATTACCGTAATTCGCAAGAACGACGGCACATTGACGAGTGAACCTGGTGAGATATTAAACTCCCTCGTTTCATATTACAAAAACATTTACACCAAAACGAATTTATGCAAAGACAGCCAAAACTATGTCTTGTCACACATCACTAAACTTTTGAGTAATGATGAAAATCAATTTTTAAACACCTGCCTAACCGGCGCGGAGTTAAAAGAAGTTCTTTTTAAATTTAAAAACGGAAAATCTCCGGGCTATGACGGACTTCCAGCTGAATTTTACAAAACTTTTTGGCACATTTTAGAAAAAGATTTTGAAGAGCTTGCTTACGAAATACTTTTCGTAGAAAAAAATACTAGCCACTCTATGAAAAAATCAATAATTTCACTAATTCCCAAGCAAGGAGATCTCACTGAATGTAAAAATTGGAGGCCCATATCCTTAATCGGCGTTGATTAAAAAATAATCACAAAAGCGCTGGCCCTAAGACTTGCAAAAGTAATGGGAAAAATTTTAGAACCAAATCAAACTTGCGGAATTCCAGGTAGAAACATTTTTTCAAATTTACATTTAGTCCGTGATCTAATAGATTACGCGGAATTTAAAAATCTACCTAGTTTCATTTTGTCAATAGATCAAGAAAAGGCTTTTGACAAAGTCGATCGTGCGTTTCTGCTGCAGATTCTCTAAAAATTTAATCTCGGAGAAAACTTTATATCCTTTATTAACACTCTATATTCAGAAATTTCGGCATCTATTCTGAATTGCGGTTTCTTGTCAGCCCCATTCCTTACCGAAAGAGGAGTCAGACAAGGCGACCCCCTCTCTCTTTTGTTGTATGTCTTTGTGGCTGAAGCTCTCGCTTTAGTGATCGGAGCGGACAGCAGAATCGAGGGATTCCCATTACCAGGAACACCGAAACCCCTTAAAATACAGCAGTACGCAGACGATTCGAACTTTTTTGCCAGGGACGTAAAATCAGTCCGCTTTTTTTTCGAAAAAGTAAAATTGTTTGAAAAAGCAAGTGGTTCAGTGATCAATGCCTCAAAAACCAAGGGTCTTGCTCTTGGGGGTTTTGATTCCAAAATGTACCCGGAATTGGACAACATCCCTTACGGAAATATTCCATGGAAAACCCATGGAATTCCATGAGTAAACCATGGTTTTCCCATGAAAAACGGGAATTCCATGGAATTTCCATGGGTAAATTTCATGAAAATTGAAATCCTATGGAATTTCCATGGGTGAACCATGTTTTTTTTTCATAGCTTAAGCTGCGCCATGGTTGTTACAAATGCGCTTTTAAAGATGGCGTCATAGCTCGTAGAGTTATGATTATTTTTAAATTAGAAAACAATACTTACTGCATTCTTCTGTTTTTCCGTGTTTAATAAGGCTATGAATTATATGTTTTTTATAATGCAATACATTTATATGTTTTAACTAAACATACAGACATAAACAACTAGATATATTTATCATATTATAATGCATTATAAAAGGGATTATTTTTAATTATATTTTATTATATATCATTTATGCATATACTTATTTTAACTGTTTCCAGTAGCTTTGCTTACTTTGCATAACTTGCAATAGTATAGCAAGTATGTCAAGTAAACCAGTTTGAATTTTAATGCCTACTTGGCAAATTATTTGCCAAATAATTATTATTTGGTTTACAACAAATAAATGTTTAGTTTTAATCTACATTAAATAACTAGTGTATTAATGTACATAGTGTAATTTAATGTACATTCAAACTAGTATAATTATTATTATAAAATTTATCGAACGTATTAAAGAAACTTATTTAAAATATTAATATACAAGCAGTATATTAGATAAGATTAGATAACTAAGATAATAAGATTAGATAACTAATGTACAAAAGATAACTAGTATGATCTTTTTTATTTTTTTTTTATAATAGCCTTAGATTACATAAAAATGCTTGAAGTTTATTGTATCGTAAATGTTCATTAAGTATTAAAAAACATTTTTTTATGATAAATGTTCTATTCAATTTTAGTTCTGTTAAGTTGTTTTTGTCTTTTTGTTGTAGTTTTTTCTTTAGAATTATTAGAATATGTAAATAATGTAATATAAATAATGTTTATAAATTCTTTTATATTTACTTTATTATTTCATTTAAATTACTACATTATAAGCCAACAGGTTTGACTGGCAATATAAGTAATGTTGTTCATCGTTTATATTGTTTATAACATCGTCAGTTTTTATATGCATTTAATATTTTTAAAAATAGTTCAAAAGCTGTCAAAATAAAATGGTGAATTGAGTTTAAACCAGAAAAGATATAAACGTAATCTTTGGGATTCAACTTGTAAGGATGTTCCAAGAACCACTTAGTTGGAGAAGGAAAACTGTGGTAATATTTTATAAGTATCAGTAAGGGAATTTACTTAATGCACAAGATTTTACTTCATAGTTAAATGTAAGCATATAAAAGCAATGTTTATAAATAATACACTATTATTTATTATAATACAATTATTTTTATTTGTTTATATTTAACTGATGTAAAGTGCTCGTCTTTAGTTAAAATAAATTAATTTTTGCACACACTTTGATATTTACTATGCTTTTACATTACTATACTTTATAAATTACATATTTGTTATGTTTTAAATAGTGAAGTAAAAATATAATAAATTTTTGAATTTAATGGTATGTGCGTAAGTTCTTTTATTTTAACTTTATCATTTTATTTAAATTACTGCATTATAAGCAGGTAAGTTTGACTGACAATATAAATAATGTTGTACATCATGCAGACAGCTCAGACAAAGAAGTAAGTTTTTACTTAAAATTACAATTTATAAGTTATACTATATTTGTTGCTGCCTTATTCTATATAAATGTTACTAACATGCAGGTAAAATTTATATATGTGTATAAATCTTTTCATTTTAACCTTATCATTTCATTTAAATATAAATTTTTAATTTATTTATTTAGCCGTTCATTAACAAGTCCTGTGCTTTATAATATATTAAAAAATGGAAGGACGTGAAGAAAACAGGTTTGTAAATGATGTTGTACATCATGCAGATAGCTCAGAAGAAGAAGTAAGTTTTTTTTTTAATTACAAAAGTAAATATATAATATAATATTTGTTGCTGCCTTGTTCTATATAAATGTTTCTAACATGCAGGTAACATTTATATATGTATTAGTTTGAATAAATCATTTTAATAAAGTTACATTATAGGCAGGAATGTTTGACTGGAAATATAAACGATGTTGTACATAATGCAGATAGCTTAGGCAAAAAAGAGGTAACAATCTAATAATTTGTATTTATAAATAATGATATATTCATTGCTACTTTTTTCTATATACCTAACATTTGGCAACATTCATAATTGTGTATAATGCCTAATTATAAAGTAAGTTATAATAGATAATAATTATAAGTAAAATGAATTAGTAAATAAAGAAAACTAGTTAGAATGTATATAATAGTTGTATGATGTATTGTCTAGATTGATGAAATGGAGAATGAGACTAACTAGGGTGAAAAAAAATGAATATTAATATGTGAATAGTACTTTGTTTAACATCTACCTGTTTCTACAGATACAGTACAGACGCATTTATAAATGGGCTTGATGTTTTTTTGAATTAAATATGTTGTATTGATGGTTCTTTTTAACTTGTTAAAACTTGAAGTTATTATCAAATTTATATATACTATTTTTATCAAATAGTTAATATAAAATAATAAACATGTAAATTGTTTTATTTTTTGTAAAAATTGTTTTCTTGATAAATTTCAATTGTTTATCACTATGTATATCACTTATAGTATTATATTACTTGTAATTTTTTGTTTTATTTATTTTCAGTATGTTATACATATGCGTGCATTAAATATTGTGGGGAAGTCAAGTTTTGATGTTTTAGGTGCATTATAGCTATTATTTTTCAAAGATTTGTAGGATTTAACAAGATTTAAATTTTATTTTGTTTATTGATTTTATATGAAGAAAGCGATCTCATAGATTAAGAGAACTCAATAATAGTGGGATAAAATTTGCTTTTATGATTTAATATGACAATTCAAATAACATTAGATAAAAAACTTGAAAACAAATCATGCTTTTTTATCATGAAAAATCCATAAGTTTTCATTGGAAAGGTGTTCCTAATACCTATGGAAATTCCATGGTTTTTCCATGGATGGAAAATCATTGAATATCCATGGTATTTGGAACACTTTTCCATGAAAAACTTAAAGATTTTTCATGGGAAATTCATGTGTTTTTCATGGAAAACTCATGGTTTTTCCATGGAAAACTCATGGTTTTTCCATGGAAAACTCATGTTTTTTCCATGGAAAACTCATGTTTTTTCTATGGAAAACTCATGTTTTTTCCATGGAAAACTCATGGTTTTTCCATGGAAAACTCATGGTTTTTCCATGGAAAACTCATGGTTTTTCCATGGAAAACTCATGGTTTTTTCATGGAAAACTCATGGTTTTTTCATGGGAACGTGTTCCAAATACCCATGGTTTTTCCATGGGTTTTTTTTCTAAAATTCCCATGGGAAATTTTCGTACGGGTTTCGTAATGGAGTACACCAACCAAGTGCGTTTAATTTTATCGCCATTAGACATTCGGCGATAAAAATGAAAGCTTGAAAATTTTCTACCTTGTTCATCTTCGGGAAATAAAGACGGCAATTTTTGAATTGGACCATACTTCATCAGCAATGCTTTAAATTTACCATCTATTATAGGCCATTTTGCCGGATCATTAAAGTTAAGAGGCAAATCTTTATTGGTTTTGGGGTCTTCACCACTTTGATCTTCATTGTTTTCATTTTGTCCTATATCATCGACGTTCTGTACAACAACTTCACTTAAATTGGAGATAAATTCCACTTCATCAACATTTTCTGGTTCTTTAGCAGTATCATCATTTCCAGAATTTCTATATTCATTAACACTAACACTATCCGCATATTCTATTTCTCCACCGCTTTCGATTTCAATTTCAACTTCATTTTGGTTTGAAGTTGAAGCTACTATAGGTGCCAGTGCTTTTTCGCTTGATGACCTGCTCAAAAAGTGCAACAAAGCATTCTTCTGCTTGGCAGAATTTGCTTCACGTTGAAGCCTAATTTTCTTGTATTGTAACCCAGACAAGCGCTGTCTCTTACCACGGTCCATTAAATTGTATCGTTTAAAGAATTTAAACTTAAAAAATATATAGCATTGATACATATACCTAAATTTTTATATTTAATGATAATAATAATAATAAGTTTATTCAAATACATGAAAAAGAAAACGAAAAAACTAACTTTAACTACTTACTTATAAAAATTATTCTTAGACAAATATTAATAAAAGGGTATAATAATTTTTTTTTTTTTCAAAGTTAAAGTTCGTTTAATAATACACTTTTATAACAATTTACAATAGATATCTCAAAGATAACTTCAATAAAATTTTTAAGAAAGTTTCTTAGGAATATTCTGGAACTTTAATTTGCTTAGTCAGCGTATTTTATGAACCAATAGAATTCGTTTGTTTGTATATTTGGCGGTTTGCTAACATCCATCCCTGAAAAAGAAAAAAGAAACTTTTTATTACTGTTTCTTCTTCGCCAAATCCCAAATGTAAAACATGTATACAAACAAACACTTTTATTACTATATTATTTATTTGAAAAATTTAGTATGTATTAAAGTTCCCGTAAAAAAATAAAATGATTTCTTGTTACAAAAAAAAAATTTGAATTTTTTTTTTTTTTGGGAAAACACAAAATAAATTAAGAAAAGTGCCGCTCTAGAAAAGTGCCGCCGTCGGCTGTCGCCGACGTCGCCTACGCTTAAAACCGGGCCTGACTCTTATGTAAACCGACAAAAACACACACACACAAAAAAACAAGTTAAAATAGTGTGTAATGGTGATAAACATTGTACATTTTTAATTTGATTTGAACAAAGACAAAGTGGACGAGTAAACAATATAATCAAATAGAGAATTCCATATCTTGATAATTCTTTCACAGTATAAAAATCTTCCTGTATAATTCTTACATTTAATACTTGAATAATGTTTTTGTGCATGACATCTTGCAGGATAGTAAAAAGGAACAAATGTAAAAAACTCAGAAAAAGGTAGATCGACAAGGTTGTGCATAATTTTATAGCTCATTACAAGATCAAATTTTGTTCTACGGGATTCACGGGATTCTAGATTGAAGATATTGAGTCTTAAAGAATAATCTTTATAAGGAATACGATATCTTTTACAGACACTTCTATTAAAGGATTTCTGAACCTTTTCTAATCGGCGTATATCTTTTAAAAGATGGGAATTCCACACAGAGTTAAAAGATTCTATGATAGGTCGAACATAAACTTTATAGGCTTTGATCAGAAGCTTGAAATCGTTACTAATGAAGGATTCTAAAAGTAAGTAGGAACAAGAATGTGCCTTGCTTGCAATGAAAGAACAGTGATTAGAAAATTTCATATCCGAAGATTCGACTATACCGATATCTTGAATTAAATTAATAGATTCAATAGGTGCACCAATGTTCATTGAGTATGAATATAATGGTAAAGAACTATTTCCATAGCGTAGATGAAATCATTTTTTGGTTGCTATATTAAGTTGCCAAACTTTGGACCATTCTGAAATTTTTTTAAGGTATTGATGAGTTCTATGTTATTTCTATCACTGCTTGCTTGATATAACTGATATAATAATCAGCATCAATTGATATAATAATCAGCATCAGCAAACAACTTAATGCTGCAACCACCATCAATACATGAATTTACTTCATTTATAAAAACTAAAAAAAAGATGGATCCCAAAACAGTCCCTTAAGGTATTCCACGTTTTACAAGAATTTTTTTTGAATACGAGTTACCAACGCAAACACATTGAGAACGATTTGTTAAAAAATTAGTAATCCAGTTTAGCTATTCATACTAGATACCATAACAATGCAGTTTGAACAGTAGCTTAGAGTGAGTCACAGAATCAAACGCTTTCTCATAGTCTATATATACAATATCAACTATCTTTTTGTTATTAGCAGCATTGGTACACTCATTTAAGGTTGTCAACATCTGCATAGGTGAACCTACGCTTTAAAAAGCCAAATTGATGAGCAGTAATAAGGTTATTAATTAGTAAAATAGTTTGTAATGCATTCTGCAATTATTGACTCCATAACTTTACAAACAATGCACGTCATAGAAATAGGTCTATAGTTTATAGTTAATGACAGGTTTCCTTTCTTATAGACGGGGCACACTTTAGCAGTTTTCCAGAGTAAAGGCATGGCATTTTTTGACTTTGACAAAATCAAAAAGTATGGAAAAAGGAATAGCAATGGCATTTGCGATTGATCTTAGAAGTATTGCTGGGTATCCATTACGTGATTTGGAGGACTTGGATGGAAGATTTTTTAGGGATGAAACTACAGAGCTGTATGGAAACATTACATTATTTAAAGAATTTGAGTGTGTTCGCAAATCTAAGATAGGTGCAATACCATTATCTGTAACAAAAACAGAACTGAAAAAATTGTTTAAAAGATGTGAACAACGCGGTTATTGAAAAAGTTGAGACGAACAAGACATTTCGCGACGTTAGAATTATCTTATTCTATCTACACTATCTGAAAAAATTGAGTTAATGATAGTGTTGTGTTCCTCAAAATAATGTCTTTCTAATGAATCGAAAGCTAAGTTATAAGTAAAAAAGTCGCGGAAAAAACATAAGTTATAAAAAAAAATTTATACGCCGTCTCCTAAAGTTTTTATTTTTTAAATCGTTTTATCTCAAAACTAAAAAATGTGGAGATAAAACAAGATAATTCTAATGTCGCGATTTATTGGCGATCTTACGACAAAAGCGCTACTTTTTCAAGTAGTATTTGACTGTTGAAGCAAATGAGAAAATCATAGTTTTGATAAAATAAGTACTTGGTTAAATAAGTTAATTAATAAATAATGAGTTTTAACTTGTTTTAACTAAGTAAAATAAGTTGATTGATAATTTAAAAAGGATTAAAAATTTTTTTTTCTTAGCAAACACTCCAACGCCGACACCGAAAATAAAACACAACTAATTTATATTGTTTTATCTAATTATTTTAATAAAAAATTGTGTTTTTCCAGTGAAACTTCAAATTTGTATTAATTCGGAAATATTATTGAAACCTTTGTTTATAAACTAATTTTAAATTACAAAAAATTTTAGGTGTTTTTAAAAAATAGGTTAAAAAAAATCTTCCGCTGTTCAAAACCGTGCTAAGGCTACTACAATAGCTGCAGAAGAAGCAAAAAATATACAATATGGGATTTATAACCATTACAGAGACCAAAGAAAACATCTCTTTTTTTTGCACTAAAATAAGCCCTCAAGTAAGTTAATTGTTTTTTGTATCGGATTTTTTGCCTTCTTTGACTTAAATTCATTGTTTAAACTTAATATCATTACTTTTGCTAACTATTTTCTTTAAGGATCCCTATATTAATGACCATAACTCCAGACAGTCTATGAGGGCCAAGAGAACAAAGAAGATCTCTTTCTTTTTCAAGACTACTTGCTTCACTCAGCTTATGTGATTCGAAGGACTGGGGATCAGTGGGAGTCTCAAACAATTCACCTTAAATTAAGCCTTATAAATTTCAAAGTGAATCATCAGAGTTAACAGGAGGAACTTTATCAAAAAGAGGAAATTGTGATGCTCTGACTTGGTAATAGTTAATGCTGATCTCTTTTTGTGGCCTTTTTTTTTGAGTCAAAAATATCAAGGTGTTATAATTTTGAAAAGATCCCAAAGAAACCAAATTGAGGTAATTGCTTGAACTATTAGATTGTATGCTGGGTACTATCTGTGATTTGAGTCAACTTTTTTAACCAATAAAAATAATCAAAGTATCAAAAACTATAAAACACAAAAAAACATTGTCATCACCAAATCATTCATCTATCATTCATTTACTTTCGTTGTCTTCGAAGTAACTTTCCTTCTGTTGAGCCTATATCTCTTGCCTCTTATGCAACTTCTTGGGTTCAGGCTGGAATGAAATCTTTTGCTCTCTCAATTGAAAGCCTCACTCTTCTCTACGGTTTTTCTCTCATTGTGCTGCTGCAATATCCAATTGAATCCATTGCTTCCATATCTATCGTCAAAATAATTCCCCATAAAATCTGTTTACTATTACTAGAAACCATTTAAAAAATATTTTGTCTAAAGCCAAAGCTCGCATTTTTCTGGTCACAAAATCTCCTATTTTATCTCAAAAATTAGGCTCCTGAGACTTCTGGAGAATCTTCAACTGTTTTTATAATAAAGGCAAATCAGTAATTCCTCCTTTTTACATAGTTTAGTATTTGTTACCTTACCTAAAAACAAAGCTGAATTTTTGCTAAGAACTTTTTATCAATCTCATCTCTTGTTTCCATTAATCATAATAATCAACCTGACATTGTCGATAAACAGATTGATCTGTATTTAAAATGATGTAATTAACAATCTTCCAGAAATTCTCACATCTAAGGTGGCTTTGTTCGCTCATAATACTGATGATTTTTTCTTGTATAACTAAGAAGCTATCAATCTCTGGTTGCTTGAAGGGAGCATTTGAGTCTGAAAAGGACCTCACTTCTGCTACAGCATGGGGCTCTCAGTGGCTAGTTAACTTTAACTCAGATAAACTCAATTTTTTTCATCTAATTGTTATTGTATTAATCTAGATCTTCCTATATTTATGTACTCAACGAGTCATCTATTCTTTTTTTTCAAAGAGTAACTCTTCTGATCTTTTTTGGAAACCATATATCAAATCCAGTGCGAAATTAGTATCTGCTAAGTTTGCATCTCTTTATTGTGCTCGCCACTTTTTAGTCCGGATTCTATTCTTTATCTCTATAAATCTTAAATCCATCCTAATATGGAATACTTTCATCATATCTAGAGCAATCTTCAAATAATGTCCTTTCTCGTTTAGACAAGGTGCAAAAACGCAGTGCAAGCATAGTTGGACTTGCTTTTGCGGCCAAACTTCAGCCCTTGTCACATCGTCGTAATGTTGCTTCCTTTTTCTTTTCTATAAATACTTTCTTTTTTTGTTTTACAAAAGCAAACAAAAAAGGCTTCTGAAAGAAGCTCATAATGATCTTATCATTCAGAAGTCGTGAAGCAATAATACTTTCTGAGTATGTGTATGTTATTAAAATGATTTATCGCCTGCATGAATTTTCCGTTTGCAAATATAACAATTTGAAATAAATATTAAAATAAAAAGTTCATAAATTTGTCATCTGGTCACGTGACCGGGGCAAGACTTATTATTCAATTTTTAACTAAAGTAACCAAGTAAATACAGTAAGACATTACTTTATAAAAGGAAAGAGAAAATACAACAGTCTCACAATTAAAAAGACAAATACGTGGTTGTTATAAAAAGTATTTAAATATATCATCAAAAGATAGAACAAAATTTTTAAGTTTAATTTAAAGATCGCAAAATTCTTGGATATATCAAAACTAATTATTACAATTTTATTCCAAAGATATGGTGCTCAAAATGTAATGCAAAATTTTTTAAGTTTTGTTCTGTAAATTGGTTTATATACACAATTTTTATTTCTAATTAAATATTTATTAATTTGGCTAAGAAAAAAAAGGCCTTTAAAGATAGGTAAAGTTAAATTGTTTTTACATATGTAAATAAAGCATAAAATGTTATAAACATTGAGTTCGTAAATATTAAGTATTTTCATCTCCATAAAAAATAGTTTCGAAAGAGTAAAACGATCCGCAGAATTAATCAATCGGATCGCATGCTTCTGACGGCGATAAAGGCATTGTACTTTTTTTTGGTGCTTCCCCAAGCTATTTTGGCATAACTTATATACGTGTGAATAAATGAGTAATAAAGTTGGGTTAATTTCAATTTTACAAGCTACTACTTTGCATTTTGTCGGGTATGATATGAAGTAGCTTCCTTAGTAACGCCCATAGCAACGGAATAAAGCAGTATGAAAACTTTTGTTTAACTACTGTTTTAATATGTTTTCGTGTTTTGCAATAATAAAAGATTTTGTTTAGAGGCTACCTATGTTCAGTTTCAAAGATAAAACAGTTTTACTTAATAAAATTGCATCATTTCACGATCATTTGATTACTTACTTCTTGTGACAAAACCATTATACTAACACAAGTTGTGTTGATAAAATGTTTACCTGAAATATATTTTTTAGGTTAATAAATTAAATATACAATGGGTAAATATAAGAATACTTGAACTCAACTCAAGATAACAAGATAACATAACTCTATTAGTACTCATAAACAATAACAAAACAAAAATTCTATAATAACATAACTTATAACTCAAGGTAACAATATTCAAAAAAAAAAAGTAAAAATACAGATGCAAATGAAAACTATTCTCCTAAATTAAACTTGACTTGATTTATGAAATTATCAAACAAGACTTTGATAAATTAAGTAATAAAAATTTATTGAAAAAATGTCTTCATGGGCTAACTCAAAATTGTAACGAAGGGCTAAATCATATCATCTGATCCCGAAACCCTTAAAATGTTTATTTAAAGACAGATGTTCTTGAAATGGGAGTAAACTCAGCGGTTCTCTTTTTCAATGAAGGTTATTTGGTATTTATTGTGTATTTAAACATTTAAATTTAGACTTAAAAAAATACGATAATTAGTTCAGTAAAAAAAGTCTAAAAGGGGTTAGAGAATATGGTAAAAAAAAGATAACCACAAAAAAAAAAATAAAAAAAAAAATAAAGAAGAAAAGAGTTGAGAAGAATTAGGAAAGGTTGGATTGATAAAGATTAAGAACATTTATCCAAATATATCTACAAAAAAGGATATCTTTAAAACTTTTTTTACTTATTTGCCTTTTATCTAAAAATGGAGATTTTAACATAATTTATGAACTCAAAACACGATATCTCAACATTAAAAAATGCCTAGGTCTCCAAACTTTTCCCAATTGTTTAATACATATATGTGTAGGAAATGAACTAAAATCTTGATAATTGAATGAATATTTATCAATTGCTAAGTCTTTTTTAAACCTTACCCCCCTAAAAATTAGTCAATTTTCAGTTTTTTGGGACTTAAAAGAAATATTTTTGTTTTTATATAATGATCTTAGTTCATCCTCTACCTCATATAACAGAAAATAATGTTGCAAAGTACCGAGTTGTTTTAATTAGCCATTCTGGAAAAATCGTGTTTTGAAAAATAAAATAAAATATGCTTTTTTGTGCGTTTTTTATAAAATAAGTCCTCTTTTTTTTTTTTTTTAATAAACATATTTTACTACTATTTTAATTAAATTAAATTTATAAAACTGATTTTAGAATTGATTTAAGTTGTTTTACTAAAAAAAAATATTTCCTGTGAAGCCACCTTAAAGCTTTTTGCTTAAATATGATTTGGATTTATATAAGACTCCGTTATTTTTAGATATTTTCGAACAAACTTAGTCAATATGTGGTTTCCGTGTTCTCATCGAGAACCACTCTTAAAAATATAGTAACAAAACCTTTTATTATTTTGACATCATCTACTCAACGCACTTAATGCAAGTTTTTAAATTTTTTGACTCGCTTGTTCTCTGTGGCAACAAACAAACAAATTTTCCGGTCCACAACATATTTACTAGGGTTATTTACTGATATAACATAATTAAGATATATTTAAAAAAACCTTATGATTTTCATTTACAAGATGTTTGCTTTTATGTTTTTCAGTTAAAACTTTATATACTGCACATTTAGGAAAACCGCAAGTTAAAGGATCGACAATAGACTGCTCTGTCATTTTAAAAGATATAGTTGATTGTATTATAAATTTTTTGTGAAAATAAATTTTTTACTTGTTCTTTTGTTTTCTAGAAAAACTTTTTTTACTCTTTCTTTCGTTTTCCGCATTTGTTTAAGAAGTATTAAATTTTGCCGCTATTTTACTTATATTTACAAAAATCTCACGTAAATTAAAGACCAGATTTTTAGTTAAATAGCTTAATGACATTATAAAATAGAGGTGATGCATATCACAATAGTATTTAAAATTTGAACTTAGACTTTTAAATGAAGCATAAGAGATAAAACATTAAAAGTCTAACGAGCCGTATGTCAAATTTTGTGTTCATCACATTCAAATTATTAAAAACTTCCATATTTAATCGAAAAAACAGATTTTAAACTTGAAATAACTGATTTTTTTCTACCTTTTTAGACATACAAATTGTTTGAAAATCACTCAAAACTTATTTGAAAATGTTGTTTTCTTTAGTTAATGCTTTATCTTCGTATAGCATCAACATCATTTTTTACCAAATAAATGATACTTCAACTACAAAGCAAAATTTTAAACCTGAAATCGAAATTTAAAAAAAAATTAAACGTTATTTAATTTTAGACATACGAAAGGACTAAAAATAAAAAAAAAAATTCGTTTTTTTATTTTTTAGTTGTGCTAAAAAAATTCAGTTAAACTTTTACTAAAACGCAAAATTTGTTTATTTTCCAGAACGTGCATTAACTGCGTTGAGTATAAATGTTTTTGGGGTAATTAGAGTTTTAAAGAGAGCGAATGAAAAAAAATCCATTCGGTTAAATGCTATAAATTTATCCATTATCCATTTTCATACAAATATATTCATTATCTTTAATTTTCTATGTAAATATATCAATTATCTTTTTCCATATAAATATATCGATTATGCATTATTCCATATAAATATATACAGATTCTATATCCATTTGGTTAAATACTATAATGGGCGCTGCTCTTAGGAGCTAGAGTCTCTTGTTCCATCAACTAAAGTTCATTCTCGTGTTACTCGATACTAAATTCTCAAGTCTCATTCTTTACTGTGACTGTTTATAAGTGCTCCAAAAATTCTTATCTGTCTAGTTTTTTTTCTCGAACATCAGTCATTTAGAATTCGCTACTTACAATTTTTTTTCTGATTCATATAATTTGAAATCTTTCATAATTTTTCATCTTATAATTTGAAATCTGTATGTTAATCGTAGTTTTACTTTATAAAATCCATCTTTTTTCATCCGTTAACTTCTAACTCTAATAGTGTTTGCTTGCAGCCTTGTTGAAAGTGAAGGAAAAATTACTATTTATTAAAAGGAAAAATTGAAGGAAAAATTGTCTGTCAAACTTTTTCTGAACTGACAGGGAGTGCTTAATGGTTTAATGATGTTTTATTAAAATTTATTAATGAACAATATTCATGCGCTTCTAAAAGTAAAAGTCTTAACCAAACAATATGTTGTTTTTATGAGCATATACTTAAACTTTAAATTAGAAAACAGAATCAAAACTTACAGGTTTGCTTGGTAAGTGTAACTCAGTTTTGTAAAACAAAAACGCTTTATTATTTGTAACAACTTCAATGCTTCACTCTTTACAATCAATAAATTGATATAATGTTGCAGCAACGTACAACAACTCTTCGTAGCAGCTCTACAATTGCGCTTTGCTTAAATTATTTCATCAGTATTTTTGTTATAATGTATATAAAATTTGTATTATGTATGCTTTAAAAACGCTACAATATTTCATTTAGCAATAAACAAATATATAGAATTTTCAACACATACATTACTTTCTTTTGTTTCTTTAAATTAGTAATAAATATAATCATTGTTGTGGCTAATGGGTTGGAGGCCCCCACTAAAATCTGTCATTAGGGCCCTAAAATCTACTTTACTAAAATAAAAAGCTCTTTAAATTTGCAAAAGAACCTCTAAGTTTGTAAATGGACCTATTAAATTTGCTGGGACCTTCCTAATTAGGGGCATGGGGTAACCTAGAGATTGCTCTAGAAAAAAATCACATCAACAAGATAGAATTTTTTGAAATCTGTTAAATCATTTGGTAAGTGAACAATCTTTTTTTCATTTTTTTTTTATATCTTTTTTTTTAGTTATATGTATATATATATATATATATATATATATATATATATATATATATATATATATATATATATATATATATATATATATATATATATATATATATATATATATATATATATATATATATATATGTATATATATATATATATATATATATATATATATATATATATATATATATATATATATTTATTTATATCATATAATTTTGTAAATATTTATAAATATTTCTTATTATTATTTTGTAAATGTTTATAAATATTTCTTATTATTATAAATATTTCTTATTATTATTGAAAATTGCTAGTTGTTATATAATGAATCGATTATAATATCCTAAATGACTAAAAAATTATTAGTGTTGTTAAGTTAACACAACAAATGGTTTGTTTCGTTTGAGTTAAACACAACTGGTTCAGTAACTGTCTAAATTTTTGATAACAAGCTTGCTAGAGTTAATCTTCTAAATATTTAATATAGCCTGTTACATAGTGATATTATAATCTATTAATCAAAAATCAAAAATCAAAAAAAAAAAAAGATTACTTGATAAATCAAAAGAGCTAGAACTTTTAGAAAATGTTTAAACTTTCTAAAAAACATATTGTTTTTTTTTAACTCAAAGTTACAATGTTTTATATTTAGTAAGTGAAAGTAAACAAAAAAGTTATATGCTAGTAGTAATTCTTTTTCTTCACTTTCCTTAAAGATTATTTTATTTTTTAAATGTCTTTGCAATAGTTAAAACAATTTTAGCCCCAAGCTAAGTCATCCGTAAAAATAACAGAGGTCTAAAATTTAAAGGTTAAGTTAGTATTCCCTAATATATCGCAATGAAATTATACTATTTAAGATAAATAAAAATATCTCTATTAGCATATTACACTTTAAGTAAACTTTCAAAGACTACTTGTAGTATATTGTAAGATCTTAGGTGTTTTCCTTTTGAACAATCTAATCGTTTATCTTTAAGGCCAGATTATATACGGAAACATTTTGATTGTTTAATTTTTTGAACTTTAAGGTGGTTCACTTATATAAAACTTCAGTGAGAATGAATTCACACGTGATAAATCTAAGTAAAAAACAAAACAAAACAAACAAAAAAATTATTAATTATAACTTGTATTATCAGTTATAATCGAAAATAAATGCATATAAAGTACCAAATATTAATCGGAGTGTCTATTCGCGCGTTTTTCACGTGCGAATAGACTATATTTAGTTATAGTCTATTCACACGTTTTATTAAAAAAAAGGTAAAGATCATCGAATTTAAAAAGTAAATTATAAAAAATTAGATTTATTATTATTGGTTTTTAACTTTAAAATTAAACTAGCAAATTAAAGTACACACTCGCGGAAAGTGTGGAGTTTTCCTCCACTCCGATGTGTAGCTATCACTCTTAGACACAAATGTGGAGTTATTTTGCACACTTTTGTGTAAATAACTCTACACTTCTGTGGAGAAGTCAAGTTAGAAAAAGTTAATTTCCACATAAAGTGTGCAAAATAACTCCGCACTTGTGCCTAGGAGTGATAACTACACACCGGTGTGGAGGAAAACTCCACACTTTTGGCGAGCGTGTACTAACGCAGTACTTACGTTGGCTGACTTTTGAAGGATCTGCGCACCGTAGTGTGTATACATATTGACTGCTTATTTAGGGATAGACACAGTGTAGTTTGTGAGAGATTTCATATTAAAAATCTAAACGTGCAAATAGACTATAATAAGATATAGTCTATTCACACGAATAGACTCACCCAATATAAATTGTATTTTAACCAAATAAAGTTATAATGCGATTCCTTCTAATAGTTCATTTTGCTTTAAGTATAGGTAATGTTTTAAAATGCAAACATTTAATAATCGATTTGAAAGCTCACATACTCAGAATACATGGCTCTCGTTAAAATGCACGTGCATATTCAGTCAATACAGCGTTTGTTTATAATTTTTCAAACTGTTTAGTTCAAAATTTACTTTTACCGACAATTGGAAAATGCCATCGTTTAATTTGGGAGCCATCATTTACGTAAAAAAGGAACGTGACGACGCATCTACAAATAATAATATATCAAACTAGCTGAGATCGGACTCGTAAAAATACGGGTCTCTGTAAGTTTATTATAAAACGAACTTTTCAGTACTTTTTCCTTATATACCCTAGCTTTCAGAATCCGTAAAATACGGGTCTTTACGAAACCTACCATTTCTATACATATCTATTCCACACCGAATATTTATATACCTATTTCTTATTTACTTCAATATTTTTTAGTAAAATAATTTATTCTGAAAAAAAACATTCAAGAGCGAAAAACTTTACATGTGTACCATTTCCACGTACGTAGAACTTATAAGAGACTTATAATTAGGCTTGTTTTTCTGCTAAATGTAATTTATTGATAGCTCAGTGGTTAAGTGAGCTGTCATCAGTTTTGTTTTGGAGGGTTTAAGACCTCAACTCAACTTAAAAAATTTTAAAGTTTTTTTAATCTTGCTTATATATTTATAGGAAAAAAATAATAATTTAGCAAAAATGATTTCTAAAATTTAAAATAAAATTTTATAGTTTTCTCATTTTATAGATTTTTGGACTAATACATATAGATTTTAGCGTTTTTAGATGTATTTGCTGTAATTCGTGCTTTATTTTGATACTGCTTGCACACAATAATGGTGCCCTATGGATCAAGTGAAAGTCCAATGCTTCGGTATATTGTTACTAGTAATTCGCTATGAAAGCCTAGTTTTTTTAGACTACTAATTAGGTACTGAGCTGAGGAGAATTTGGGTTTGATGCAATGCCAGTGTTGTTTGGTGCTTATTTCAATATTTAAATCTAATCCTAGGTATTTATATGAGGTTACATATTCGAGAGCTTTGGGGTTGATGGAAAAAATTGGTGGTGGGTGTGTGTCGAGTTTGTTACTAGGTATGCTTATGATTTTGAATTTTGTTGTGTTTAATAACATTTTGTTTTTAATACACCAGCTATTAACTTTGTCGCATATTTCCTGTGGCAGGTTTGAATGGGCTAGGTCTCCAACAATTTATGCAAGGATGTCATCAACAAGTTTGTAAAGTTCAGTATTGCAGTTAATTATATCGTTTATATCGATTATGAAGAATATAGTTTTATCTCTATTTAATGCCTGGAAACTCAGCATATGCTAAAAACGTTTACACTTACAAACGTTTGTACGCTATACAAATAGAACTAAGAAGCGCTATGCAATTAGAACTAAGAAAATCAAAGACCACTAAAACAAAGTCATAAAAAAATGTTTATTCTTATTAGTGGCGTAACTATAAAATTGCTTCCCCCCCCCTCCGCCAAAAAAGTAAAGGGGCCCTACTTAAATTTTTTCTCATATTCATATTATTATTACCAGTCATATTCTTCATATGAGTAAAACTTGTAAATCTCCGCGGGGCCCTCTAAGCTCCGGTGCACCCCGCCTTGCTGGGTTATGCTCCCTAATATATAAAACTGGTACAGATATATCATTTCAAAGTTTTAAAAAACTTAGTTTTATATTAAAAAACGATTTATATCATGTTTCTTTGCAAACACCAATATACGATACTTAAATTTTTTAAGTACACTGAACGACTTTTGGTTAAGAACACGCTCGAATGAGCACTATCACTACTAATACTATTAAGTTCGGCAACAATATATAAGATAAAAAAATGAAATAACACTTATAAAAAAGCATTAATAAATATATTAGAAAACAAGTATACTAATATATATCATACATATAAATTGTTAAATATGTTTACATATATCAATCAATAAATAAAGTATACTTTACATATATATAGATATTTTTTTAGTTCTGTTTAAATAGTGCGAAAAACATAAAACTAAAATCCTCTTAGTTAATTTTTAATAAATAAAAAAAATAAAGATTAAAAGAAATAAAGAACAAGTGGTAAGAGTTCTGGCTCAGAACCAAGTGGTCCAAACACCAAGTGGTCTAAACACCGGCTCTAACCCAATAAGTGACATTGGTATAGGAGTGGGCGTGGACTTTCTAGTTAAACGATCTTCTACGGTGCTATGTGATAAGACCGTAAGGTCTTCTAAGAGCACCCTAATAACCACATAAAAAAAAAAAATCATGGTTTTATTAGCAACAATGTTCATTTCACTTATAAAAGTATATTTGGTTTTTACGATATTATTAACTTATATCAAAATACTGTGAATGAAGGAAAAGGCGATGAAATTTATCTCAAATTTTGAACTTTTTTTTTTAAATTTCTAAGAGTTTTAACATATATAATTTTTTTTTACTTGACACATAGATGTATTTAAATAATAATAACACTAATTAATGCTGTTGAGACGTCAAGCAGTATATCAACCGCTAAGTATTAACTAATGGATAAATTAATTCAATTTCCTAATGAAAAAGAGTTAATAATAAGCTTTATTGATTTTTTTTTTTTTTTTTTTTTTTACTTCTTAGTTAACACATTGCAAGTTTGCTTCCATTTTTTGCTCCTCTAACGCTAGATGCTGGACCTGATGAGTGGATAGAGTTCATTAGTGTTTGATGAGCTATTCTATAATGTTTTGTGTATGTTTTGTGTTTTTGTATGTTTTGTGTTTTTGTTAAAACACAAAACATACAAAAAATTTTAAAAGCATTCCTTTTCTTTTTTTTAAGCCATCTGCATCTAGTGAGTTTTTCATCAGCAAAAAATCTCTTGCTTCTAAAAAAAGCGCTCTTACTACGCCACGGCTGCTTTTTTTCTTACTTTGTTTTTTAAAATTGTGTAAATGGCGTAGAAAAACAATTTAAACTTTTGCATAAACTTATGTATTATAATTTTTAAACGATATGTAATCGAAATGATGCTTTTTTAACTAGATCTTTTTGTTTTTTTATAGTAACCGGACTTTCGTTTTTCCGCGTAACGTTTCTTTTAAAAAAACCTTACAAAACGATAATATTTTAATTATTTATATTTAATATTTTCATAATTACGCCTTGTTATCTTTAATTTGAATGATAGTAGTTTATTTATATCAAATTTGGTAACATTTGTAAAATAAACAGTACATTTTTTAGTTTATTACAAACACTTCGAGTTTCTACGTTCCATTTCAGTGTCTCTTCAAAAGTGAACTTCAAATATTTGAAAATAACTTTTTTTTTCTTCAATATATACAACAGCTAGAGTTGTTGTAAAAATCTAACTAAAATTTTTGCTTTTACAAACGTTAAAATATTTGTAAAAGAAAAAATGTTAGTTTGATTTTCATGTAATGAAAACATGTAAATAAGTCCTGGTTGTTATTTTCTAAAAATTCCTAAAAAGAAAAAACTACAGTAGCGCTTCCATTTGGAAACGTTAAAGTGTTTTAAATTGTTTAGAAATTTTTTTTATCCCTTCAGGAAATAGATATTAAGGTCACACTTATGTTAAAAGTATGTTTAAAAATAATTATTATATAGGCTCTAAAAGGTTAATAACTAGACCAAATAAGGCTAGAAATATTTTCTTAAATTCATCAGACAAACGTACTAAAAATATTTTCCACGAAAGACATCAGATAAACGTACGCAAACTGATAAAAGATGCTCAATCTCAATATTAGGCTGATCACAGGGATATTTGTTCGAAAGTTATGAGTTTGTGAAGCTCTCATTTTGGCGAGTTTGAAAACTGTAAACGACCGTAATTCTTGAACACCTATTTAATGAACCTTAAAACCTATCGATAAATGCAAACTTAGTTGAGCAGTTACAAATCTCAGTATATTATTGTCTTCGTATTTAGGGTTAAGGGTGGCACAAGTATTAGGTTTTTTGTGTTACCTGGCTCCAACCACAGAAGGTTTTAGCAAAGTAATTTTATTTGATATAAGTATTTATTTTTATAACTACTTATATCAAATAAAAATATAAGGTTATAAGGTTATAACGGTTCTATATATATATATTTATACTTTATTGAATTTTTTTAAAATTCAACAAAATATAAACAGGTAAATTTTTATATCTTATTTTTTAAAAACTTACAATAAAAAATAGTTAAAAAACTATTATTAAAAAAGAAAATTAAAAATGTTTTTTATAGGTAATTTTTATTTTAATTGACGGAAAATCTGATAAAAATGCTTTCTCCCTTAATTGTCAAAATACAAAATCATTTTAATGTCTATTTATTTAGATAGTTATTTACTTTGTTAGATATTATTATTATTGTTATTGTTGTTATTATATTATTATTGTTACTATGTTTGCTTATTTGAATAACACAAGAAGATTAAATAAAGCACATGATATCGCTTTCCCATGGGATTTGAATATCCTTGCTTTGATGAGCTTGTACTGCTTATAAAAATTCAACTGCATTAATTAATAGTTTACTACAGAGAATAAGGAGTTTTTTAAATAGACAACGAAATACCTTAATAATTGTCGTGAATTGGCGAATGATAACTTTTTTTCTAATACTTTAATTCTTTATAATACTATTTGTCGCCTTTTTATTTACTTTATTATATGAAAAATAAAGCTGCATATATTCGACTTTTTGATTGTATCGAGTTTAATTTTTTTTTTTTTTGCGCAAATTTATTAAACGATTTAACTAATTAAAATATAAAACATTAAAAGTCAATTATAAAAACAGCAAACATCTATACCATATAGACTAACAATATACTACGTATTATATCATTAATAATATCGGTTAACTTTTTCACAGGATTTTTTGTTCTCAATTAATTATATTTGAACCCATTACCTATTACTATAACTACATTATCATTTAAGTAATTATTAAAAATTATAAAACTATATAATTATTGAATTGATTTAAGGAAAATTAAATTTTGATTTATATCTAAAACTCTGCTCGGTAAAATGGCGTTCAAAAGGAAATTAAAAAAGAGCACATTTTGGAAAACCTATTTTTCTTCAACAACCGAGTGAAATCAATTGGCGTTTTATTTATCACAAAAAAATGAAATCTTTTTATTAAGTCCTAACTTATACCAAGTCTAATACAATCTAAAGATACGCGTTTTATTTTTACATAGTTACACTATTTTCATATCGAAATATATTACTAGTTACATTATTTCGAGACGATTTATTGTTTATATTGTTTCGAAATCGAATAAATATTCCTGAATATTGTTGTTTTTTTAAAGCCTAGCTATGCAGCTAGGCGGTTTTTTTATAGAGAAAATATCAGTGGAACCTGACACGTTAAGGAAACTTAATTTTTTTTTTTTACAAAAATCAAACATTTAAATTAAGTTTAAACGTTTTATTTTTGTTTATAACTAATTTACTGATTACCTAAAATTATTACAAGTTATCGTGAATAGTAAAAGCATGATGTTTCATTTTAAAATTGTGACAGATTAAATACAATTTTTTTCAAGAGTCTTCTCTATCCTTATTCATTAACAAATGAGTTTCTTTTTGATTCAATTAATTTTCTTGGCGTTTTTTGTGTAAAAGCGTAACAGCCAAAATTAATGAATTCAAAAGATATCCCAAAAGTAACGCGTTATATGTTCTTTTAAAAGCGTCTGTAAATGATTTGTTTTTAGATGTGACGTTCCGCTTATGTTAGATTAAGAAGTTATTTTTGTTTCGCTCGTTTTCGTTTAAAATTAATCTAGTCCATGTTCTAAAGAATGAGAGAAATGTTTTTGGTGATTTATTTTTTCTTTGACTAACTTAAACAATGAAACAAACTTTCTTTAACATTATAATGATAAAACCAATTGTTTGCTTGGACGTTTTGCAAAAGATTGGCTTGATACGTTTTTTGCTATATTGAGATTTATGTAAAAGTTTTTATTTTTTTCCTTTACGTCATTAACGTCATAATAATGTTTTTCGATATTAATAAAAAAACTGTCAAAGTAAAAGAACTGCAAAAAATTTAAAAAATAAGTTGGATGATGGCAAACAGGACAGACTTTGGAAATACAAACGATTCAATTTATTTGGCAATTAGATATGGAATTTTTTCATTTTTTTTTATTCTAGCTTTGTTTTGGAATTCTTTAATTATTATCTCAGTTTTTCGCAACAAGACTTTACAGAAGCCGATTAATGTGTTAGTCTGTAATTTATGCCTCGTAGATTTATTTATTGTACTAGTGGGAATACCGCTGCACGCTTCAAACAATCGCATTTTATTAAAATTTAATTGTAACACTTTTGAACCTCTTCTATCAGCTTTTGTTACAGCCAACGTGTTTACTCTTGTTACTATAGCTGTAGAAAGATACGTGGTAGTGTTAAACGGCGTAAAATCAGTTTTTAAACTTGATTTAAAAAGATCAATCACAGTTTCAGTTCTACTCGATATATCTGCAATCACATTTTCTTTGCCTAAAGTTGTTTTTCAGAAAAAAAGTAATCATGACTGCTGTAATTTAAATTGGCCTTTGCAAAGTGTAATTCTTTATGTCTTGTTTTTATTTTTAATCCAGTACCTGGGACCATTTTTGGCAATGACTTTCTTGTATTTAAAAATTTGGTATAACATACGTAAAAAAAATAAAACGTCTATCAACCTTTTTAAAACAAACCGTATTTCTAAAAAGATCAATAGTATTTCATCTATCAAGGACATTCAATTTAAAAGTGATAGCCGTAATCATCTGGCAATAAAAACCAGACGCAGTGGCTCTCTAGACTCGCTTTACGCCTATGGAAGTAATAATAATAAAATATCCGATTCTCAAAACTCATTAAGACGTTCTAAATCTTCTTCATTTGTTGCCGAAAGTTCACATAAAAATAAAAGTCCTATTGAACGGTCATCTTCGTTTACTTCGATCAAAGCATTTCACAACCATTCGCTGAGAGGATCTATTCAACGTATACATAGAAGCCTAACATCAGTAATAGTCGGTGCAGACCTTGATCAAGCGCAAGTCCTTTTTTCTGTTATGCGCTATAAGCAAACAATGAAAACCTTGAAAGTGTTTTTTCTTCTTTTGTTTGTATTTATAGTGTGCCTGCTCCCTTATCAAATAAATAACTTAATTGATTTGAGAAGCTGTAATCGTAGAAACAACTACTTGAGTATTCTCATTTACATCAATGCAGCAGTAAATCCGTTATTGTATGGTGGCTTAAACTGTCAATTTCAAAGAGTTTTTAAAAAATACTTTTCCCATAAACCAAGCCAAATTCAGTTATTGATTAAAAAAAACATGTTTCACAAGGAGCCAGAAAGTATTTACGCTAAAGGAAGCTATAAAACACGATATTTTTTTTGCCTAAAAATAAAACGTTTCGGAAAGCACAAAACGCGATGCCCTATAGAGCGTGCCGATGCTAGATCTCTGAAAATGCAAAGAGATTCAATCAGAGAAAGACAAAGCATTAGCTTCTATCAAAATAGAAAAGGATCATCAAAGCCACTAACTGAAAATACTATCCCTGTTTGTGCACCTATAATCATTATTACTTGTTACGACGATGAAATAGATACTAAATTTTAGGTTGCTCCTTAAACAATTTTTTCGATACAATATATTTAAGAAGATTAAAGCGTTAAAACAGTTAACTACAGTCTGCACTTATTACTCATGTGCGTATGTTTAGAAGGCAATTAAAAGCAAATTGTTTTTCAACATATGTTAAATATTTATTGAATATGTGGTACAAACGTACATTAATATTTTAATTTACAATCTTTTAAAGTATTGTTCAAAATACAAATTTATATATTTTCCCAGTGGGCACGGGACACAAAAAAGACGTCTTTTGAACGTTTTGGACGTCTTTTGAATGTTCATAAATTGACTTTTTCTGGATCCTTCCCCATTGGGTTATGAATAACAATATGTATATTTCTAAAATTGTTATAACACCACGCTATATAAAAACGTTGATTCTTTGAATTCGTAAATATGATATTCACGTGTGACTTTTTTTGTTGAACATGAACATACAAGTACAGTAAAGAACAAAAGAACTTAATTATACAGAAAAGATTGACAATACTAGTAAATTTATTTAATTATAAAAACGAAACAAAACAAAACAAAACAAAAACAAAAAAAAGGAAAAACAATATTATCACTAGATTAAAACTGATTCTTGAAATATTTGAATTATGTAATTTATATTTCCTCTTAAGATTAAATTAGAAAAATTATCTCCATAATATTATCTCATAAATATTATTCATAAAATCTACATTAAATATGTATAATATTAGTTTTCAGCCTAGAAATTATTTTAAACAAACAAATTTGTTATTAAGATGAATTATTTTGTAAAATTTTAAAATTATATTGTTATATAGAAACGTTACATAACAGAAGTGGAATATATACTAAAAAAAAAAAAAAAAAAAATCGCACCTTAAATATGGTCACAAAATATAATTATCATCCTGCATTACAATGAAAGTATATTGTACATAAAGTAATCTAAAGTAAATACGATGCAGTGTGGATACAAATACTCTATGTTTTAAAGTAAATATCGCGCTGTTAGATTTTGAGTAACTGCTTGAACACTGAGATTCATAAAGAATATAATACAAATATATATATACCTTACGGCTAGATAAGCTCAAATCCTAATTTTGGATAGGGCCAATAGAGTTATTATGAAATAAATAAATAAACAAATAGCAATAATATTTTTGTTAAGTACAAATCAGCATTGCGAAAATAGTATTGGGATTTTCACCGCATTTAAAAATATTTTCAAAATATAAATATTATTAAAATATTTAGTATTAGAAAAATAGAAATATAGTTGGAACTAAAGACAAATATTTAAATTTTTTTCTTATGAAAAGTTTTTCTTTATCATAAATGAATAAAAATTGCCAATAATATTTACCAAATCAGTATCAATACCAAAGCCTTCATTAATTAAAAAAAAATTTAGTTTAATACAGCATAAACATTAAATAATGAAACCTTAAATTTATTATAAAAATGTAAACTAATATATAGCATTAAAATTAATAATAATTAATACTCTTGCATATATGCTCCTATTTACAACACAAGTTTGAAAATAAAAAATAAATCGGAGGCATAAATCTGTCATCAGTAATACAAATACCAATAAGCAATTCAGTATGCTGAATAAATGCTATAAAATGATTGAATACAGGTAGAAGCGATTTTACTGGGACATTTTTTCACTTTTAAATTGAATGTCCTTGATAGATGAACATGTGTTTGTGTATATGTGTGTGTGTGTGGGGGGGGGGGGGGGGGAATGAAAATCACCTTTTTCATGTTATAGTCTTTTTTTTTACGAATTTATTCGACTAGTCGGGTATTTTAAACATTTCAGTCGGGTAAATTTTAGTTTTGAGGACCTTTTAATTTTTATTTTTTATTAGTACTTTTTAAGGAATCATCTCCCTCCCCCCCCCCCCCCCCCAACGTATAATCGCTTCTGAATACAGGAGCTGTATGTTGTCTGCAGAAACATAGAAAAGCTATAATAAGTTTTATTTTAGTGATGTTCAATATACATTTGACTAGGCTTAAAAAGTTGGTGCCCTCTGATGAAATTCTTTAAATATATAGTAACGCATACAAAATAACTAAATTTCATTTGGTGCAATTTAAAGGATATTGAAACTATTTTTAATTTTATTTTCCCAATGCAAAACATCATCAAACTATGGTTCAGAAATTTTGTAAAATAAAGCAATAGTTATTATCATAATGAAAACATCACTATATTGTTTAAAAGCACAGAATGACAGTCCAGTAGACATGCATTGTCCGGGGGACGTCCAGCCGACGTCTTACAGTCGTCTAGACGTTTATGAGACGTCCGAAGAACGACGTGTACCAACTGGAAGTAAGGAAATTATTATTCAGAAATTATGTTTTTACAATTTTTGTAAAAAATGTCTTCATACTAATGTTATCTTAATACAAGTGTGGGTTGTCTTTTTTTGTAAGGGTTTTGTGTTGGGTTTTGTGTAGGGTTGTCTTTTTAGTTATGGTATCATAGTAAGAATTATTCAAAATGTTCAACTAATACACTTAATAAATTAAATTAATTAATAATTACAAAAAATCAGAAAAATAATCTTTAGCTAAAAACATATGATGAATATAGTTTAAATAAAAAATTTACAAGATTTTTTTAAAAAGTTTCTAAGAACAATCTTAAATTTATGTTAACGCGAATTTTGTTTGTCAGAAAGAAAAATTAACATTAATTGACAATATAACTCTTGGTTTTATTTACTTTAAATAAAAAAGCAACTTTTCAAACATAAAATAACCTTTTGTACAATAGATTTTCAGCATCTCAAAAAAAAGCATTTTTTCCATCGTGCACTTGAGGACATCTCTTACCTTTGTATTGAAGAAACTATTAAAAAAAAAGACAATTTCAATTATTATTATTATAAGTGATCCCTTTCAAATAAAAAAAGGTGATCCCTTTCAAATAAACTTTAAAACTAAAAAATTAAGTAAGCACCTCTTTTTAACATTAAAAACTTTTATTTTTATTTTTTTACTTATAAATTTTAGAGAACTTTTGCTCCCTCTAAAATTAAAAAAAAATTTAAACATTTAGGGTTTTGAATAAACAAAATATTGAAAATATTTATGTTGTTTATTGTATTACTTGCTATTTATATAGCTTATTTTTTATTTATTTATTTTTACTTATTTGTTATTTATGTAACTTAGTATAAATATATTTATAGCACTATCTTTTTATTTATGTAACTTTGTATCAATATTTACAGCATCATCTTGTTATTTATGTAACTTACTACCAATAGAGAATATATTGTTTTTTACTTAAATTTTAAAAACTAAAAAAAAAAAAGGTAGATTAACATTGGATAAATTTTTATATACCAAATATATGGTGCACAAATAGAGGATATAAATTTAACTGATATTGTTTTATAAACTATTATTTTTTAATTTTATAATTATTTTTTAATTAAAGTTGTTCGATTAAAAGTTAAAGAAAACCAAAGTTTTATTAAAAGCTTTATTTGGTTTTTTTGAGTCTTTTGGATGCGAACCAAATGGAAACTTTAAACATAAATTTAGAAGAATTGGAACCGTGTCTGGTGTTAGCCCAAACCTAGTTGAAAAGTATAAAATATAAAAGAAAAGTATAACCTTTTAATGGGAATCATGCGTTTTATCTATGTCTATACTTTAATTTATGGTTATATAAATGTAGTATAATATTAAATTATATTTAAATAATATAAAATCTTCAACTCTAATCAAATGTTTGGCATATGTATTAAAGCAGCATTTTTTAAATAGTTTTAATGTTTTTTAGTTCATTAAGATCTAATGACTTTGTCACTCAGCATACCGCAATAGCAATAATGAGGATTTCCCGCTATTTTTTGCACTGATATGGTTTATAGCGATCGGAAATTCGCTGCACTGCGCTCCAATAAAAGTGATACCAGGAGTAGCAACAGAATTGCGATAACCATTAGCAATAAAAGAAAGACGTTTTTTTTCAGGTGAGTTGTTCTTGTGAAAAAGATGAAAATTGTCTTGTGAAAAAAACCTTTTTTTCTCAGGTGAGTTATTCTCGTAAAAAAAAGAAAAAATTCTCCAAAGTACCATTACGGAGAAAATCATTTAAGGAATCCTTAGTTAGCTTAAAAGAAGTATTACGAATTACAATGAAACGAAGATTAAGAAGTATATAAAATACAAATTTGAGTGAGGTATGAGTTAGTATAAACTTCAATATGGAGATACTGAGCATAACCTAAGGTCGAAGAAAATTCACAAAACAAGGTGAATTATAAGGCTTCAGTCATAAAGTTAACTATAACAAGTAACAAAGAGATAGCACTTGGTGAATTTGATTATAAAATTTGATTATAAGTTTTAGGAAAATGAAAACAATATTACAAAAAGAAACTGATTTAGTGAAGAGATACAAAAGCACAAACAAAAAGAATATGGTTCAAACCTGATTTTTCGACAAATAGGAGAATTAATATATAAGTTTTTAACCAGGCTAATTATTGGCTGCTTGAGTCGTTGCTATTTAACAAATAATAACTAATAATTTTTAAGTTTAAGGATGAAATAGCCAAATTTAAAATAGTTTTACAAAGAGTAAATAGGACTGATGAATTTTGAAAGAGGTAAGATTCAAATAATGAGAAGTTACTTCGTAGATCTCAATATTTGTAAAGAAAAGATTGAAACAATCTTTTCTGTAAAAATAATTCAATGGTAATAACAACGGTTTTTTGTATTTTAAATTATTAGGTACTACAGCTTTATTAAAAATTTTTAGAGAGTTTGCTCAATAGATAATGGATGACACTCTAAACAATAAGTTATGCAGTTGTCTAAGTCCTGATAATCAATACACATCAAAGACACTATCAGAGACACGATTCATTTAAAACATAACACTGGTAATGCCTGAAATTTTACAGCTGTTAATCAGATCAGCCTCTTTTGGCAGGGCCGACGACACGAGGTTTTGAAGTGGGAGGGTACAATCATCAATTTGTGAAAAAAGTCCTCTATATCAAGATTTTTTTTAAAACAAAATTAAAAAATATTAAAAAAAGTTCTCTAGAAAAAACAGGTGGGGGGAAGGAAGAGGGGGAGGAGCATGTGTTCCCACGGCCCCCCAGTGTCATCGGCCCTGTTTAGATCTACAACAGAGTTCAGGAAATCTTACTTGCAACTCAGAACTATTGAACTGATTCTTAAAGTTGTACCCTCAGTAAGTGATAATATAAAAAGTTGCATAGCCCCTACCAAGGATTTCGTAAGTAGAGTAAAAAAGATCCAACGTGCACCATTCAAGCTAGAAAACAATGTAACACAAATTTACATCAACGCTAGTCTAAAAGATAAAGAGGTGTTCTACAAA